TCAGGTGAAAGGTTGAAGGTTTGAGTCCACCAGATGCTCCTTGGGAGAAAGGCTTGGTGATCTGTTGTGTTGTTGTTAGGTGCTGTCCAGTCAGCTCCAACTCACAGTGACCCTATGTACAGCCAAACAAAACACTGCCCAGTTATGCGCCATCCTCACAATCCTTGCTATACCTGAGCCCATCGTTGCAGTCACTGTGTCGATCCATCTCGTTGAGGGCCTTCCCTTTTTTCATTGACCCTTCACTTTACTAAGCATCATATCCTTCTCTAGGGCATGGTGATCTACTTCTGAAAAATCAGCCATTGAAAACCCTATGGGGCACAGCTCTACTCTGACGTAAGTGGGGTTGCCATCTTATCTAAGCAGCAACTGGTGTGGAGCCCCTGGGTGGTGCAAATAGTTAACCTACTCAGCTGCTGACCAAAAGACCAGAGGTTCAAGTCCAACAGAGCACATCATAAGAATGTTATCATAGAAGAAAGGAAGAATAGATATTGGATAAGCAACTGGTAACCTCTGCCACATGTGTATGTTTTCATCTCTTTACTTTCAACATTTTTATATCTTCATGTCTTAGGTGTGTATTTTGTAAACAGTATGTAGCTGATTAAAAAAAAAATCTGTCCATTATAGTCTGGTTATACTGATTGCTGATATACTTGGATTTATTTGTACCATGTACTTTGTGCTTTTTGCTCTCCTAGCTTGCTTCTTATTTATTATTTTTCTTTTTCTTTTCCTGTCTTTTATCACATGGATTGAGGTTTATTTTTCCTTTCTCTCTCATACTGGCTTGGCAGCTCTCACTGCCTTGGAGTCAGAGCCAACTCATAGCGACCCCTCCTTGGGTTTCTGAGGCAGTGTCACTATGAAAGTAGATTGCCCAACCTTCCTTCCGAGGAGTGGCTGGTGAGTTTGAACTGCCAGCCTTCTGGTTAGCAGTCAAGTGCCTTGTTGTTGTTGTTGTTATGTGCCGTCGAGTCGGCCCCGACTCATAGCGACCCCTCCTTGGGTTTCCGAGGCAGTATCACTATGGAAGTAGATTGCCCAACCTTCCTTCCGAGGAGTGGCTGGTGGGTTTGAACCGCCAGCCTTCTGGTTAGCAGTCAAGTGCCTTGTTGTTGTTGTTGTTATGTGCCGTCGAGTCGGCCCCGACTCATAGCGACCCCTCCTTGGGTTTCCGAGGCAGTATCACTACGGAAGTAGGATTGCCCAACCTTCCTTCTGAGGAGTGGCTGGTGGGTTTGAACTGCCAGCCTTCTGGTTAGCAGTCAAGTGCTTTAGCCACTATGCTACCAGAGCTCCCTTAGGCACTATGCTACCAGAGTTCCTGGCTTGGCAGCTAAAGAGTCTAATTCTAATTTTTACTGGTTATCCTTAAATATTTTTAACAATTATGCATGACTCATCAATGTTTTATTCCTCCCAAACAGTCCAGCAAGCTTTTCCAGTTATCCTCTTCTTAACTTGCTTGTTGTTATCATCTAATATTTGAGCCCCAAATTGTAAATTCTCCCAAGACTAATCATTACTAAACCCAAACCAAACCAAACTCACTGCCTTCAACTCGACTCAACTAGACTCACAGCGACCCCTCCTTGGGTTTCTGAGGCGGTATCACTATGGAAGTAGATTGCCCAACCTTCCTTCTGAGGAGTGGCTGGTGGGTTTGAACCGCCAGCCTTCTGGTTAGCAGTCAAGTGCCTTGTTGTTGTTGTTGTTATGTGCCGTCGAGTCGGCCCCGACTCATAGCGACCCCTCCTTGGGTTTCCGAGGCAGTATCACTACGGAAGTAGGATTGCCCAACCTTCCTTCTGAGGAGTGGCTGGTGGGTTTGAACCGCCAGCCTTCTGGTTAGCAGTCAAGTGTCTTAGCCACTATGCTACCAGAGCTCCTTAGTAAGACTGGGAGTAGTCAACTCACTCTGGCTTTGCCCGGAAATATCTTTATTTTTACCTCGTCCCTTCAGGATCAACAATTAGGTTCCCTCAGACTTTGATCGACGTTTTCTGTTCTCCTGCTTTCGGCTGTTGCTGTTGAAATCTTTCGTCTGATTATTGCTTTTTAGAAATCCATCCTTCTTCTCTGGTTTAAGATACTCTTTATTTTTCTTATCTAAAGTTTTACTGCACTATATTTAGGTATGGATTTATTTTTATTGATCTGTTCAAGATTTAGGTTTCTTAGATATGAGGATTCATGTCTTTGTTTCTGGAAAATTCTCAGTTGTTATCACTTTGAATATTGACTCTCCTCCATTCTCACTAGTCCCTTACTCTAATTAGATGCATAGTTGGTTCTTATTCTATCCTCCATGTATAAGCCCCTCTTTTATATTTTCAATCTTTCTTCATATTGCTATTTGAGTTTACTTATTCTTGCTTCAGCTGGTTTATACTGCTTTTCTTTTTTAAACCATCTGTTCAGTTTATTTCAATGCTTATATATATTTTTTTATTTCTAGAAGCTATGTTTGGTTATTTTTTCCAATGTGGAACAAAACTCAAAATCATAAGGACTAGGCTTACTGGTCTGAGAGACTGGTGAAACCCTGAGACTGTGGCTCCTATTTACCCTTCAGGCCTAGTATTGAACGCACTACTGTGGCTTTACTTCTTATAACAGGTCAAGAGGAGAATATTTACACCAGTTAGGAGCACTTCCTAGAACAATCAACCATGGGAGACCAGAAGGGCAGCATTTATGTAGGGAGGAAGCTCAGAGGGCAGGAATGCATAGGAAAGAAGAACACAGGGAAAAGGTAACCACAGGGAGGAAGTGAGAAAAGAACTGTTACATTGTGGGAATTGTGGTCAGTGTCACGAAACAAAATGTGTACAAACCATTGAATGGATAACAAATTTGTTCTATAAACTTTCACCCAAATCACAATAAAAAACAAAAATATAAAATAAGGAGCCTAGTGGTACAATGATTAATAGCTTGGCTGTTAACTGAAAGGTTGGTGGTTCAAACCCACAACAGCTCTCTAGGAGAGAAGACCTGGCAATCTCTTCCCATAAAGATTACAGCCTAAGAACAGCACTATGGGGCAGTTCTACTTTGTCCTATAGTGTTGCTATGAGTCAGAATTGACACACAACAACACTACTCAAAAGCTTAATTTCCTAAAAACAAAAAATATATATAAGGAAGGCAATTTATTCCTTTAGAATAAGCCAAATGTTTTCATAATAAATTAAGTCTTAGTCTCTCTTTTTCTCCCACCTAAACTGATTCATTGAAATCCTATTCATACAAAGGAAAGTGTGTGTTAACCTGTGTTCTTAATTCATCTTATATTTACTATAATATTTATTCCTTTTTTAGACAAGTAAAAAAAAAAAAGGTTTTTTAAAATTTTTGCCTAGTATTTTGTTCCTATAATTCTACTTCCTATTTTCACATCTATTTAGTTTTAATCAAACTTACAAGTTTTTTAGCTTGCTGTTCTTTTGAGTTCTTGGTTGTGCTAGCCTATAGTCATTTTATTTCTTTCTGCTGACTCTAGCAGGACTGTTCCCTGTGTGTTTTGCAATTTTAGATGGTGAGCTCATCTTCAGTCTTTTATTTCCTTGAAAGAATTCGTATGGCCTTGGTTTTGGGAGTGTCCCAACAGAGTAATATCACAAGTCTGGAGTTAATTTTATGCAAGATTCTTGGTGGGGCAGCACCCAGCAGGTAAATTCAGACGTCACATAACAGAGGTACAGGCATGGGATTTTAGTCTCACAGAAAACTTTTGTTATTCCACTCAAGCGTCCTTGTAACCTTCCTTTGAGCCCTGGTGGCACAATAATTAAGCTATTGGCTGCTAACTGAAAGGTTGGCAGTTCTAACCCTCCTAGATGCTTTGCAAGAGAAAGACTTGGCAATCTCCTCCCACAAAGATTACAGCCTAGGAAACCCCGATCCTACTCGATGGCACCCTATGATGACAACAGTGTTAGTTGGTTGGTTTTTTATTTTTTAAGTCCTCTCTCCTTAGCCCTTGTCCTGGGGCTTTTTACTGAGTATGCAGCCCTTTGAGGGTCCTGCCTCTGTACAGTGATCTCAGTTATCCCTCTCTTCCTCTTAAGGCCAGGCCTTGTCCCTGTCCAAGCATGAGCATGAAAGCCCACAGCCCTCACCGTGTCCAGGCCTGTGTCCCCTTCAGAGCTGCTGCAGCATCAGCCCTTGCACATGTTGCTCCTCATTTCTGGGGTGTGGAGACTCCACCTTCTCCTTTACTAGTTGAGCTATATGGCAAAGACATTGCATTAAGTCTGATCCAGCATTGCTAGATGCTTGTGGCTGTACAGTTTTAGTTTTAGCTTATCTGCTTCATGACTGAATCAGAAGCACTAAGTGAATTTCTCCAAGTCTCAGTTTCCTCCTCTGTGAAGTAGTAGCGTCCACTTCAAGGGCTCGTTGTGAGGACTTAAATGAGACACAGCACTTAAAAAAATATTTATTTATTTATTTATTTATTTATTTGTATTTATATTTATATTTATATATCTCCCTTAGGATGGTACCTGCCAGGTGAGAGGAGATCAACAAATAGAAGTTATCATAGTCATTGTTCTAGAAAATTTGGAAAGTTTGGAAAAGTATGAAGAAAGTGAATACTGCCCACTGAAAATAATGATAAGGACTTTATTATATTTCTAACTTTTATTCATACATATATCATACATCATTTTTTTAAGACATAGGTAATGCTGTACATAAAACTCTGTATCTGCTTCTCCTGTTTGATCAGGCTCCTCCATTTCATAGTTGCTCCCCAGTTGGGAAGTCCATCTATTATCTTAGCAAGAATGCAATTATCAAGATCCCATTCTTCTTCCACAGAGGCTATGCCTCAGTAGGATGGTCAGAGTGGCTGAGAAAGCAGTGAAGGCCAGAGACCACATGAAGTGTGTGTGGTGGGCAGAAACTCTGAGTACTTCTGCCAGAGGTCAGCCCCCAGCCAGGTGCTAGACCTGAGTGACTTTGTCTTTTCTGTGCTGCAGGTCTCCATAACAGGATTGGAGTTTTCTCCACCAGTCACTTTTCAGCTCCGAGCTGGCTCTGGACCTGTGTTCCTCAGTGGTCAGGAACGTTATGGTAAGTCCAAACTTTGGTGTGGGGAAGGTCTGAGAGTGTAGTGCCTACCACAGGGCTAAGGCCATAATAGGTACTCACTCAAACACTTGAGAAATTCACTTGAAGATTATTGAAGAAAATCCCCAACGTCAACATGGTAAGCCATGGATGGGCAAGGATCCTAGCCCCAGCTTCCTTTTATCTCCCAGTAATGTCCTGTCTTTGGGCCTCAGCCGCTTCACCTGTAACATGAGAGTAGGGACATACTTAGTTTTATCTTCAAAAAGTTTTTGTGAAGAATAAATGAGATGTTTAAGGAAAGCACTGGGTCTAATGCCTAGTACATAGTGAGAACATAAAATATGGAGTTGTAGGAGTAAAAAGGACCATAGAAAATTGGTGTTATATTGACCCCTTTAATATCCCTTTGGGGAGCCCTGGTGGTGCAGTGGTTAAGCATTTGGCTACTAACCAAAAGGTCAAGGTTCAAACCTACTAGCTGTTCCGTGGAGGAAGATGTGGCAGTCTGCTTCCATAAAGATTAAATAATAATAATAATAATAAAGCCTTAGATGCCCTTCAAGTCTGGAATTGAACCCACACCTGCGGTTTCCAGCCAAACAGGGTACAGGCATGTGAGTTAAACATTTACCTCAAGTAGACACATGCCCTGGAGAGAACAATCATGGGAGAAGGAAGGGCTGCTTATGCACAGGGAGACAGCTCAGGGGGCAGGAGAGTATGGAGGGATGGACACTGGGAAGAGGTAACTATGGGGAGGAAGTGGGAGGGGAGCTGTTGCATTGTGGTAAACTGTGGTCAATGGCATGAGACAAAGTATATGTGAACTGCTGTATGGAAAGTAAATTTGCTCTGTAAATCTTCACCCAAATCAAAATAAAAAAAGTAAATAAAGCCTTAGAAATTCTATGGGGCAGTTCTACTCTGTCCTATAGAGTCACTATGAATTGGAATTGACTCAACAGCAATGAGTTTAATGGAGTATTCCTTTAACTTGTTGCTTTCTCCGGATGGTTGTGCCTCTTTTATCTGGACACTCTTCTACCCAGAAGCCCTTACAAAACCAAAACACCAAACTCACTGCCATCAAGATGAACCTGACTCATAATGACCCCTCCTTGGGTTTCTGAGGCGATATCACTATCGGAAGTAGATTGCCCAACCTTCCTTTCGAGGAATGGCTGGTGGGTTTGAACTGCCAGCCTTCTGGTTAGCAGTCAAATGCCTTAGGCACCAGGCCCCCAGAGCTCCTTCCAGAAGCCATTGGTAGATCTCATTTCCCTTAGGATAAGGTATAAATTTCTTAGCTGCCTGTTTTAAGTTCCCCTCCACCATCTATTTCATCTCTTCTTTTTTCTTCTCCTGTCTTCTTCTCTCCTTTCTTTCCCTCTCCTTCTCTTCCCCTCTCCCTTCCTCTCCCTTCCCCCTTCTCTCCCCCTCTCCCACGCCCTCACACACACTTACACACACACACACACACACACCCTCTACTCACCTTCAACCTTGTCTCCCACCCCTTCCCAATATGAACCCTCCCCTACCTGGAACAGTCAGCTAACTACTCCTCCATCACTGGAGAAGTTTCCTTCCCTCCTCCTACCATCCCCAGCCCTCTGCCAAGCTTTCCCACATCCCCTATCCCACCTTAGCCTTCACTTTCTAAGGGTTGCCATGAAGGTTCTCTTACAGAAGATGGGTAGATGAACACTTTCAACTCACAAGCTAGGATTCCACCAGAGTAACACATGGAGCAAAACAGAGTAGGGCAGGAGCTTGGCATAACTCCTGAAGCTCTGCCTTTCTCCCCACACCCATTCCTGCCCCCTTTCACTTGCCATCATAGAAACTTCAGACCTAACTTGGGAAGAGGAAGAGGAGGAAGAGGAAGAGGGGGAAGAAGAAGAAGAAGATAATGAAGATGATGATGATGAAGATATATCCGTAGAAGAGGAGACCCCTGTGAAACACATCAAGAGGCCAGCGCTCCAGAAGCAGATGAGTGTTGCTAAGGTGAGGTAAAGGACATGATGCTCTAAATGAGTTGGTGACTCTCCAGAGGCACCTCAGAGGGAATGGGCACCAGCAACCTGTGACACACCTCCTACATTAGGGTTCAAGATGTGGTGAGGCTGCCAGTAGGCCTAACCCTGCTGGCTCTCAGCTGAAGACTTGGTGGATCCTGGGAGACTGCTCTGGTAGCGTAATGCCTAAGGCACTTGACTGCTAACCAGAAGGCTGGCAGTTCAAACCCACCAGCCATTCCTCGAAAGGAAGGTTGGGCGATCTACTTCCGATAGTGATATCGCCTCAGAAACCCAAGGAGGCATTGCCATGAGTGGCGTCCGACTCGACAGCACATAACAACAATAACAACAGGAGTCTGCTCTGGCCCTGATCCTCTCCTTAACTCTCCTGATAATGCCTATTTTTGGTTCCTAGAGAAAAAAGCTGGAAAAAGAAGAGGAGGCAGTGAGGTATCCTTTTCCATCTTTTAAATTAGCCAAAGCATTTTAGCTGAGGTATAGAGTGCTAGAAGGAGTATAATGCAACTGGGGTGTGTTTGTATGTATGCACATGTACGCACAGGCATACATAAACATACACAGGGGTTTAGGGGCATTCTAGGTTGGTATAACCTTTTGGAGAAAAACATTACGATGTTTTTCTGACCTAATTTCACTTACGACAGTCTTCTCCAAAGAGTTCCATCCAAACTATGGGAGAAATTATATGCACTAAGAAGTGTATCATTGCATTATCCAAATCACAGTGGAAATGGAACTAATCTAAATGTCTACCAATATCTTAAATCAAGCCACATCTTCTCAATAGAGTATTACATACAGCTAGTTGCCATTGACTCAACTCTGACTCATGATACATACTTACAAAGATCATAGCAACCTGGAAAATGTATATAGAGTTGAGAGAGCAGGGTATCAACTTGTTTTTTTTTTTTAACTAGATGTTTGAACAAACAAACAAACAAAAAAAAAACAGAAGGAAATATACCAAAATGTTAGTGTTTATGGGGAGGGACAAAGAAAATAAGTAATTTGTTTTCTATTGACTATATTTTGTGCAATGTGTTTCACATTACTTTTTATAATGAAAAAGGCATATTTGTGATAAATAAAAGAAACCAGATAGGAGACTAAGAAGAAAAATCATCCAATTTAAAGAGAAAGTGTGAGTCAGAGTCATCCCTGTAGGGTAAGCATATATAGAAATAACTTCTGCAGCCTCTGAGTTGCAGCCCCTGCTTCCTGGAACTACCTAAGACCCACCCAGCCTTTCCATCACAGGCACTAGGCAGCCCAGGCTATTGGACATCACACTGAACTCTCTCTTTCCCACCCATATCCCCACTTCTTACCTAACATCCCCATCCCTGTTACCCCACCCTTATTTCCAGATCCAGTGTCAAAGACAAGAGCCCTGTGAGAAAGGTGAGTACTGAGTAAGGAGGGGCTGGCCCTCCTGGGAGGGGAAATGGGGATCTTTGAGCAGGTGGCCAAGACAGGGACAGGAGTGGGAGACTAGGGCCTTCTATTCTCTCCATAGGTCAAACTCACACCCAGGCCTAAAAAACTTGGATCCAAGAAGTGAAACACTAGGAATGGCTGGCAGCAGTGACCACCATGCAGGGTGGGCCTTCCTTGGACTATGCTGCAGATGCAGGGTAGCCCACTACCCCAGTCCCTTTCTATCCCTGAGTCTGAATGTGATGGGGGCACTGAAGGGGCAACACAAGAGCCCCTCACCCCCAACTCTCCAGTTCCAGCAGGACCAGGAGAGAAAAGCCCAGACCTCAGGGTCACAATAAAATTTGCTTTGTCAAGATGTTGTTTCCTCCTCCTTTTTCCCTGGAGTTGCCCTTCTTGCTGGCTGCAGTGAGCCCATGCACCCAGCAGAGGGCAGCAGAACACCAGCACACTCAGACGCTGGCACATTCCATCCCTAGCCCCATTCCCCACCCTCCACTGTAGTCCCACAGCTCCCTGTGGAAGGGGAGCTAGCAGCCCCAGCCAGGTTCTGCTCTAATCTTTTATCTCCCTTTCTTCTCCTGGCACCTCCAACCTGTAGCTTTGAAAAAAGAACCAAGGGTCTCAGATCTTTGCCCAGCTTCAAATTTTTGCTTCTGCTGAGCTTTGTACCAGGGCCAGGCCTAGGGCTGGTATGGGTCTTCTTCCTACATCCACACTCCCTTCAGCCAGGGCCCAGTTTTACAGATACAGAACTTAGGGGCTACAGCTGCTGCTCCCACCAGGAAGAATTCAGCCCCAACGGACGAGCGTGAAGGACCACCACCCCCACCACACATCATTTTGGTACTCTGTGGGTTGTCAGGTGCAAGAGCATCTATCTACTGGAGTTTCGGGACATAGCGCACTTCTCCCTAGGGGAGAGCTCTTGTTCACATCCACCTCCACATATGTGAAGATCAGTGTCAGGCGTAGGCCTGGACCTCCAACAAACCCTTCCAGGTAGAGTGGAGAGGGCTGGCTTTATGGAAGAGTTAAACACCACAAGTCACTTGAAGAGGAGTTAGGAGTCAGACTAGTAAAATATTGGGGTTAGACCAATAGGACTGGGAAACGGGGTGGAGGACCTGCTGCCTGACTCTGGCCTCCTGCCCTCTCCCAGGCCTCCAGAGGCAGCTTTGGAGCCTGGTTCATCCTAGTGACACTGGCTTAGTCTTTGCAGCAGGCAGACCCCCCAACAGATGGTCCCCACTCCAGCTTATACTTGCAGGGCATCTGCTAGGCTTTTTCTTGGCCCTCTCTGTGCCCCCAAACTTTGTGGCCAGTGAGAAGCATCCCCATGACACCCTCGGAATGGGTCCTAGGAGGTTTGAACCACCTGCACAGGAAGGTCAGCAACCAGGCTTTGGCTCCCTGTACAGCTTTAGCTTTTCTTAATGCCAAAGAAGAAGTAGAGGGCAGTGATGGCATCCTACACAGATATGGGAGTTGTCCCTCTAGCCAATGGTAATAAGCCACTGACCTCAAGTCACCCAGAGAATGACGAGGGATTAAGTCCAGCTCCGTTTAGTTGAGATTTACTGAGCTTGGCTCCAATACAATGATACAGGGTGAATGAGATCAATTCCACCCCTTCAAGTCGCTTACAGTCTAATGGAAACACAAAAAAAACAATAGTATAATTTCAAATACTGTCAAGTGTTCTGAAGGAAGTAAAAGAGGTTAACTTGCAGGTGGTGGTGGTAGGGTGCCATCAAGTTGTCTCCAACTCATAGCGACCCCCTGGACAACAGAACGAAACACTGCCCGGTCCTGTGCCATCCTCACAATCCTTGCTATGCCTCAGCCCATTGCTGCAGCCACTGTGTCAGTCCATCCTGTTGAGGGTCTTCCCCTTTTTCACTGATCCTCTACCAAGCACGACATCCTTCTCCAGGGAATGGTCCCTTCTGACAGCATGACCAAAGTAGGTGAGACAAAGTCTGGCCATTTTTGCTTCCAAGGAGTATTCTGGCTGCACTGAGCTATTTGCTTAACAGATCTAAGAAGGTCCTTCTGAGGGGGTGATTGACAAGAAGAGTGTTGCCAGATATGCAAGAAGCTGGCAGAAAGATATTGCTAGCAACTGGAATAAAAAGTGCAAGAGCCTGAGGAAGGAGCCTGGAGGGCTGGATCTGACCGCAGGTACAGCAGCAGACACAGTGTCAGACACTGCTTCCGTGCCTTCCATACATTCACTTCTTTGGTTCTTCAACTACACTTTGAAGGAGGTGTTATTAGCCCCATTTCTCAAATGAGGAAGTGAAGAACAAAGAGGTTAAACAACTTGCCTCAAGTCAAACAGCTAGTGGAGGAACTGGATTCAAATCCTGATAGCCTGGCCCCAGAGCTGTTGCTTTTAACTACTCTGCTGATGACAGAGGGTGATGGGCAGCAACCAGACCACATAGAAAATCTTGTTAGCTGGGAGCGGGAGGTAGAATTAAGTCCACAGTGTAAAGGGAGTTCTAGGAGAGACAGTGGCGAAGCCTCTTTCTAGACACACAAATACTTCCCTTCCCTACCCCAGCCAAGTGCCTCGGTTTTGTTCAGCTATGGATCTGTACATACAGATACGCAACAGATAACCTGTCTATAATTTGATTTTTTTTTTTTTTTTTTTTTTTAGGGCAGGTGGTAGGGGTAAAACAGAAAAGATAAGAGGTCTGTCTGCATCAGCCTGGGCATTTTTGATCTTCCCCAGCCCTTAGCCCATCCCCACAGCTACTAGCCCTTCTGTTGTTCAACAGGAAAAGGGTGGGCTGGGGTGGGGCAGGGAGGACTGAAGCAGGTGGTGACAAGTGGCAGGTCTGCAGGTGGGCTCTGTGAGTGTGTTTGCACCAGCTGGACTGTTAGGAGGAGCAGGCGTGAGACAGCCCCAGTTGGGGGGTGTTGAACTTGGCACTAGGGGGTGGGGATTAACCACAGCAGCCTAGGCTTTCTCACTTCCCAGATCACCTCCTGTCACCCCCCAATACATGTTAATAAACCCTATCCTTCTCCCCCCACCTCACTCCACTTAAGGGAAAAAGTAAAACTTCAGGTAAACTGAGCCCCAACAACATAAGAGAGTCTCTGACCTCTTTCCTCATGCTTGAGGCACGTGATACTTTTATCACGTGTCTTTTATCTCAGTTGATACTGATGGCAGTTTTGACAGCATTATTGGTGACATTGTTTCCTTTTTATGAATTGGGGATCTGCATCCAGAGAAGTAAAGGAACTTGCCATAAGTCACACAGCCTCTAAGTCCCAGGACCAGGGTGAAGATAAAATCCAGAATCCCTGAGTTGTGCTAACAGTTAAAGCACTCCCCTGCTAACTGAAAGGTTGACAATTCGAGTTCATCCAGAGGCACTATGGAGGAGAGGCCTGGTGATCTACTTCCAAAAAGCCATTGAAAACCCCATAGTACATAGTTCTTCCAACACATGTGAGGCTGCCGTGAGTCAGTCAGCTCCACAGCAACTGGATGATAATGATGATGAGCCTAGAACACTCTCCATTGGGATCCACCACTGGCCTTCCTGTTGGGGTAAAGGAGCAAAAGAATCAGAAAGCCAGGCCTACAGGTGTAGAATGGGAAGAACTGAGGAGCAAGGAGCAAAAGATGTCTCACCCTGAAGCAGGATACCCAGCCATACCCTGGAGCCCCCTGGCTGAGCCCCAAGGCCAAGCTTGACTGCTGGCACCTGTTACCATGGATACCCAGGCTGGCCAGTGACAGCAGGCACTTCCCCCACTGATAGGAGCCAGGTCTTGGTTCAGAGGCCTTGAGCTTCTCCCATGCCCACCATTCGAGGAGTCTGGGCCACACTAGGTGAAACTCCCCAGGCCAACCTCATCCTTATTGCCCTTGTTTTCTCAGCTGACAGCTCCACCCTGCAATCCCAGCTACCTGCTCCATGTGTCTCTGCTCTCTTACTGGGTGACCCTATCCAGCCCCACAGGTTTGAGGTCAGGCAGAGGTAGGCTTTAATACTCTACCTGGTAGCTGGGAGCTGGTGAAGATGTGGATAACATGTGGTCAAAGGTTTCCAGAAAACAGCCCAAGAGCCAGAACTGATTACATCAGAGAGGCAGATTCAGGTAAGCCTCTATGGAAGAGGCAGAGTTTAATAGGGGCTGCAAATATTGGGAAGAATACAAAAGATGGAAATGATCAGGAGGAGCCAAGCTAAGCATGGGCATCAGCATGAGCCTAAGCATACAACTGTGACAGTCTGAGGTAGGTTTGCAGAACAGCGACTACTGGACTGGTAGTTCCAACACCTAACATCTTGTCCCACCAGTGTTTCTAACTAGTTGGGAGACCTTAGGTGGATCATTGATCCTTTCTGGGCCTTGCCTACGAATCAAGGAGGTTGAACCAGATGATCAATCTCTAAGGTCCCTTACAGTTTTGACATTGAGTTTGATTCCAAAACCCTGGACTCCCCCAGTTATGCATCACCTGGGCTAGCACCATCCTCCCAAAACCAGCTCAGGCAAACTCATTCCTGCATGGCTGAAGTAGGGAGGGCAGAGCTGGAAGCCACTAGTGCTGGAGCTGGACGCTGGACGCAGCCCTGGAGGTGTCTGCGCTTGTTTGTGTGTTTGAGGGAGGGGGTGGCAGACAACTTTGTGGATTGCTCTAGCTCAGGAAGGTGAGAAGGAGACCTAGAGGTGAGAGTTTCTCCCTCCCAGTCATCTCTTTAGGTAAATAAATCCACATCCAGCATTTCCCCTTCTTTCCATCCTGAGGACACAGACAACTCCAGGGAGCCCAGAGCTGAGGTGTGAACTCTCATCCCCAGACAGGGAAGCTTCCCTCAGAGTCCCCATGAGCACCAGTCCCCCTCCCCAGGTACCATCATCCACCTTTGTGTATAGAGGTCACAGCATCAAACTGGTCACCAGCTTCCAGAGCCTCAGATACTGCCTTTATTCCAGTAAATCCAGTAAAGCTTCTTGGGTCTCTACAATGAACCTAGTGCCATGTAGGGGCATTGGGGGGGGGGAGCCTGGGAAGGCATGGGTACAGTAGAAAGCCTCGAGACTACTGCCCTAACCCCAAGACATCATGGAGCACAGAAAGAGGATGGA